TATTTATATTTCCATGTATACTTAGTAATAGTAAATTTTAGCCAGGCTGTTGTCACACGGACTAAGTCTTTTCAGTGTTGGCCAATGATCTAAGTCATTTTTGATCTTGTCATATAATTGTATGATGTTTATATTTGTCATTAAATGCTTTTTTTTACTGTCGCCATTATTCTTACTATATTAAAAGGCCATAAATCATATCAACCCAGTGTTGGCATATAAATTTTATAATAAAACTTACTCATTATTCCGACAACATATGTGCAACCAAGAAAAACCTGTCATTGAACTTTCAATGTTCAGTTTGTTTTATAAGTGTCATCTAGGAATAGTCAGTCATCGGGCTTTAATAATATGACATGATTTATACATATCAGATATGATTCATATGATTTTATATCATATGAAAATATCGTCCAACACTGCATCAACCCTAGTTATGACAAAATGACCTATGATATATCATAAATCATCAGCCGATTTTTTTAAAATTCAAAATATATTTTATATTTAATCTTTTATTAAATAATGTTAAATATTCGTTTATCGTATGACATTACACTTGTGTGACCCTCTGTGATTAGCAATACGTATCATCAGATACTTCAGGGTGGGTGTTCTTGGCAATACTTATAGATATGCAAATGATCAAATTAGAACACTCATTTATGGGTATTCTTCTGAATAAGTATAAATTAGACCAGATACGTACGTACGGACAATGTATATATCAGAAATATAATCTTTTTTCTGTATTTATAGGTTTTCTAATTTACAAAAAAAAATAAATAATAAAACAATGGGTAATTCTCAAACAAAAACTAGAGGAGTTAACGTTAACAATACTTTCAAACGCTATAAATCCTACGGCAAATGCAAAACCTGTAAACATTTCAACACAAACGTCGCTTGGTGTCAATTATGTGATCCTAAAAATTTGATTAAACAATTTGAAGAAGCTGGCAGCTCTGGAAATCAAGCGATCGATGATTTTCTGGAAGAATTATGGACTCAAACTGAAGAATACGAAAAACTTGTTGAATGGATTCCATTTGAAAAATTTGAAGAAGTACAACAAATTGGTAGAGGTGGTTTTAGTACTGTGTATTCTGCAATTTGGGTCGATGGGTTGAGAAAGCTGAAAAGTTTAGATTCTGACGCTCAACAAACCAGAACTGAACCTTGTCCTGTAGCATTAAAATCTATAACAAAAGTTGAAAATTTATCAATCGAATTCTTAAAAGAGGTAATATAAAAATTATCAAATCTATTACTGTTTATTATTATTATTAAAATTTCGTTATTATAGTATAAATGTTAATTTAAATTTATAAAATTTCAGTTTAGATATCAATATTACAATTGTAATAAAAATATGCTTGGAAAATATTTTAAATTTTATGGCATAACTTATCACCCAACGACAAAGGAATATATGTTAGTCGTCGAATACGCAGATAGAGGAGATTTACGAACATGTCTCACCAACTCTGGACTTTACTGGACCGAAAAACTTCAAATATTGACAGACACTGCGTTCTCTTTACATAATATTCATCAGGTTCAATATGTACACAAAGATCTCCATAGTGGTAACATATTATGTAAAACTAATTATGATAGAGACACTATTGCTTCTTATATTTCAGATTTGGGATTATCCAATGTTCATGCGAGTTTAGTAGAAAGATTAAACCAGAAAGGTAATTATTCGGTTTATGGTGTGTTACCTTATATAGCTCCAGAAGTATTATGTGGACAAGAGTATACTTCGGCATCCGATATCTATAGTTTAGGTGTTGTAATGGCTGAAATGTCAACTGGTAAACCTCCGTTCTACAATTTACCTCATAATCAAGACCTTGCTATAAAAATTTGTGATGGATTACGTCCTAAATTTTCTAAAAGTACGCCTAAATGTTACATTGAATTAGCAAATCAATGTATGGATTCGGATTTTGAAAAAAGACCAACAGCCGAAGAATTAAGGGATAAATTTTGGAGTTGGAATGAGACTAATAAACATATTAAAAAACAATTTGATGATGCTGATAGACAACAACAAGATGAAGAAATTGAAGATGCTGATAGACAACAAGATGAAGAAACTGATGGCACATTACAAATACATCCTGAAGCTGTGTATATTTGTAGAGTTATGAATCTTGGAAACCTTAAT